TTGCTAAACAAGTTCTCAGAGATCTGAAGGGCAAGGCCATGTACTCTGGTATCTTCATTAATCTTTAAGATTTCATCTATAATCTAAAGAAAAACAAAAAACCAAAATAAAAATAGTTTTGTGAAAATGAGACACAACAAAGGAAGCTTTATATAAAAAGTGGATTCATGAAAATGCATCTGTTAAAGTTTGCTGTTGTTGTTTTGCTCCTTGTTGAAGACTTGGTGTAAAGCATAATAGAAAGCCTATTTTTTTCTTTTCATCACATGTATAAAGCTCAAAAAAAAAAAATTAACAGGGTTGGCTGAATTTTTTTAGTGACTTCTCTGCCTTTCTATGGCTCTACTCTGTGCCAGAAAAAGACAAAACAGAACAAAACCAAAGCTCAACAGCTATTAACGTTTACATAGACAAAGGATACTTCTCTGTCAACAAGCATACTTTAAGCCAACACACTGCCAGTTTTCATGAAGGATAGGAAACACGAATCTGAAGCCTTCCAACCTGGCCCAGCTAAGCTTGTGTGCTTCAAACACAATGTGTTCAACACAGCTCACTAATCATGACGTCCAAGCGGTCACAGAGGCCCTCGGGTTATCTGGACCTCAATGACACATAAGAAGCCTTTCCAAAGGCTTGTGCTAGAAAAATTCTTAGCATGCACAGCTCCTTTTATGGGAAACACTAAAATAATTCACTATTTAGGAAAAAGACCAAGCTACATTTTGGGGAAGCTAATGAATGTCTGGGTGTGTTTCTAAATAAGCAATGCTTTGTCCTCTCTGTCTATTTCATGCCAGGAGATAAGATCCTGATTCATCTCACTTAACAAAAATATTTGCTCATAAGTGAGAAGATACTTATCTTTGCCTATAGATCTCACTCAGAGGCTTTGAGGAAGGGTTGGTTTACCTTTTTATTTTTCATTGCCTAGCAAAAATCACTACCTGTTCAGGGGCAGGGGAAACCATTTGAGGTACAAAATCAGAAAGAAAGCTTTGTTTCATTCATTTGGCATTCTTTCATTCATTTAACAAATGGTTTGAGCACCTACTCTGTATCAGTTCTAAGTAAAGGAAATACAGCTATAAACAAAACTGTCCTCATGGATCTTATACTCTAGTGGAGAAGGGAAGTTCCTCCCTTCCAAATTGTAATAATAATAATAAAATCACTGGAAAGAATAAAGGATATGCAGAAAAATAAAGGTTCAGTGGGGTAAAAGGCTAACAGAGTAATGGGTGGAGGGGTGGTCAGAGGCCACAATATCCAAGCAGAGACCAGAATGAAGTGAGGAAACTATTGTCACCTGTACCAAGCATTTGGTAGAAGCAACAAATGTCAATACAAATCTTAATTAATACATTGAGGTACTTATTCTTTTTCAATATAATACCATACAAATTCATTCTATTAGAATTTTCCCAAAGAAAAACAGGGAATAAATGATTCCTTGTCAAAAAATAAGTCAAGGTGAAGGTGCTAAGAACACACATTGTGGAAAGAGAGATTCTTCAATAAATAGCGCTGGGAAAACTGGATACACACACACAGAAGAATGAAACTAGGCCCTCGTTGCTCACCTTCTACAAAAATCAACTTAAAATGAATAAAAGACTTAATATAAGGTCTCAAACAATAAAACTTCTAGAAGAAAACATAGAGGAAACGCTTCATGACATGGGTCTGGACAAGGTTTTTTTGGATAGGACCTCAACAAAATAGGCAATGGAAGCAAAAATACACAACTGGGATTAAATCAAACTGAAAACATTCATGGGAAAAGATGTGAACAGCCATCTCCCAAAGGACATACAAATGGCCTGCAGGTATATGACAAAACACTCAACACCACCAATTATCAGGGAAACGCAAATCAAAACCACAATGAGATATCAAGCTAGAATGGCTATTATCAAAAATCACAATAACAAATGCTGGCGAGGATATGTGGAAAGGGGAGCCCTTATACACTGTTGGTGGGAATGCAGATTAATACAGCCATTAGAGAAAATCGTATGAAGATTCCTCACAAAATTTAAAAAAAACTACCATATGACCCAGCCATTCCCACCACTAGGTATATATGCACGGGAACTGAAACGACTATGCTGAGAAGCCGTCTGCATTCCCGTGTTTATTACAGCACTATTCACAGTAACCAAGAGATGGAACCAATCCAAGTACCCATTATTGGAGGACAAAGAAAGTGTGGTTTGTATACACAATGGAATATCATTCAACCATAAAAAGGAACGAAATCCTGTCATTTGTGGCAACATGAATGAACCTGGAGGACATAACATGAAATGAAATAAGCCAGGTGCAGAAAGGCAAATACCATAGGCTGTCACTTGCATGTGTAATCTAGGAAAGTTGATCTCATAGAAATAGAGAACAGAATGGAGGTTACCAGAGGCTGGAGAGGGATGGAGGAGGGGAAATGGGGAGAGGTTGGTCAATCAGTAGGTACAAGGTTACACTTAGATAGGAGGAATAAATTCTAGTGTTCTATTACATAGTAGGGTGACTATGGCTAATGACAATGTATTGTATATTTTAAGACAGCTAGAAAAGATCTTGAAAGCTATCACCACAAGGAAATGATAAAGGTTCTAGGTGATGAATGTAACTAACCTGATTTAATCATTATACAACATACCCAAGTACTGAAACATCACATGTACCCCTCACGCATGCACAATTATTATGTGTCAATTATAAACAACAACAATGAAAATCAAGGGCTATCAATACCAGTGGCAAGGCCAGATGAGGTGGCTCATGCCTGTAATCCCAGCGCTTTGGGAGGCCAGGGAGGGCAGATCACCTGAGGTCAGCAGCTCAAGAACAGCCTGGCCAACATAGTAAAACTCCGTCTCCACAAAAATGCAAAAATTAGCCAGGCATAATGGCAGGTGCCTGTAATCCCAGCTACTTTAGGAGGCTGAACGGGGAGGAGAATCACTTGAACATGGGAGGTGGAAGTTGCAGTGAGCGGAGATCGCGCCATTGTACTCCAGCCTGGGTGACAGACTGAGACTCCGTCTCAAAACAAACAAACAAACAACAACAACAAAACAAACCAGTGGCAAAATAACCTAAAGAAAAGCAAATTGCAGCTGGGCGTGGCGGCTCACGCCTGTAATCCCAGCACTTTGGGAGGCAGAGGCAGGCCATCACCTGAGGTCAGGAGTTCAAGACAGCCTGGTCAACAGGGGAAACCCCGTCTCTACTAAAAATACAAAAAAGTAGCCAGGCATGGTGGCAGGTGCCTGTAATCCCAGCTACTTGGGAGGCTAAGGCAGGAGAATGACTTGAACCTGAGAGGTAGAGGTTGCAGCGAGCCAAGATTACACCACTGTACTCCAGCCTGACAGCGAGACTCCATCTCAAAAAAAAAAAAGAAAGAAAAGCAAATTCCACTGCAGACAGTGGGTATCCTGCAAGTGAACAACAACCTCCTTTGCATGCTGTCACTGCTGGTATCACAGGTATTTGTTACATATTTAACACTTCATATTTGTACCATGCTACAATGGCAAGTGTGGCAAACACTTATCGCCCAATATACAGTTTCCTTTCTCAGTAATAAACTCTTGATTTTTAGCTTGCTAATAAATGATCTAAGGCTTCCTGGTATAAAAACTACACTTTCCAGGCTCCCTTGCAGTTGGTCAGGCAACTAGGTAGAGGACAACTGAATGGATGTAGAACTGCGACTTCCAGGAAATGTCTTTAAAGACAGCAGGGGCCTGTCTTTGTCCTTCCTTTTTCTTGTTGGTGACAGTGAACTTTACCTGAGCCCTGTGATCCTAGAAAAGAGGGAAGGTTAACAAATCCCCTTACCCTCTGTGTACTGCAAAGAACTGCCCTTCCCCATAGGACTCAGATGCTCCCTTGTTTACATAGTACAAGGTCAGATACAAACTCTACAAATTCCCATTCTTTGTCTCACAAATGACTAGCAGACCTGCTGGGCCTCAATGATCAATCAGAACAAAGTGCTTGTTAACTAAACCACAAAGGTGGCAAAGCAGACGGACAGGAGCCCAAGCTCCTACGACTTGGTGATGTCATCAACCAGGGACTGCCTACTTCCAAACTTTATTCATGTCCTGGAAAAATACACTTCTAGGCTGGGCACAGTAGCTCACACCTGTAATCTCAATACTTTGGGAGGCCGAGGCGGGTGGATCACCTGAGGTCAGGAGTTCAAGACCAGCCTGGCCAAAATGGTAAAACCCCGTCTCTACTAAAAATACAAAAATTAGCCGGGTACAGTGGCTCACACCTGTAATCCCAACATTTTGGGAGGCCGAGGCGGGTGGATCACCTGAGGTCAGGAGTTCAAGACCAACCTGGCCAAAATGGTGAAACCCCGTCTCTACTAAAAATACAAAAATTAGCCGGGCGTGGTGGCACGCACCTGTAATCCCAGCTACTTAGAGGGCTGAGGCAGGAGAATCGCTTGAACCTGGGAGGCGGAAGTTGTAGTGAGCCGAGATGGCACCATGGCGCTCCAGCCTAGGCAACAAGAGTGAAACTCCATCTCAAAAAAAAAGAAAAAGAGAGCGAGAGAAATAAACTTGTATGTTATTTAAGATGCCATTATTTGAGGTTTTCTATCACATGAAGCCAATAGGAAGAAAAGCTAACCACAGAAGGGCTGGGCCCTGGCACAGGGATCTGTGGCCCGAGGCCTAGTTTCCTTGCCTCAGCCTGACAATTTGCACTAGATGACGCTGCCACAGCAGCTGAAGAAACACAACTGAACTCAACAAGTCGCAGCTCAAGTCTTCGGTAGAAACATACAAATGACAAGGAACAAGGATATCATGAAGCATTTACCCTAGAGAAAAAAAGTGAACTCTTCCCTCTAATTCAGCCACAAGCAAAGGTTAGATCTGTCCCAGCTACCACTAAGAGATGCCAATGGGCCTATCAAGTCTTAAGAGGAAAGAAGCAGCAAGAGTTTAGAGCTCTGCCATTCTTACCTCGGCTTCACTGCTATCTGGAGGGAGGCAAATGTGAGTGATGTTCAGACCAGTCTGAAAAAGGAACACAAAGTTATTAGTCACTATAAGAGAATGTATTGTTAAAAGTTAATAATGAGTTTTTAAAAAGCAACAGTCCTCACCTCCTCAGCCAAATTCTGGTTGATTTCCTGCATCAAGTTGTCGTCACCTGCCTTAGGAGAGTAAAAACAACATAACAACATAAAAATAGCTTGAAAAGGCACAAAAGATAATCCAGAGATGAATTTTGTGATTACAGATGATCTAATTACAAAGATAATAAGGAAAGTGCAGAAAAACAATCTTGCTGCTTATAAAAAGGGACTCGTGGCCAGTATTTAACAGAGCAATTCTTCAGGCCTTCAAATTATATCACTTTTTTAAGGAAAATAATATCCCTCCTGTTAGAAGACATACATAGTCACATAGTCAGCTTCCCTCTCTAAAAATGAGGATGCTGACTGGGCACAGTGGCTCATGTCTGTAATCCCAGCACTTTGGGAGGCTGAGGCTGTGGATTGCTTGAGTCCAGGAGTTCGAGACCAGCCTGGGCAACATGCTGAAACCCCATCTCTACAAAAAATACAAAAATTAGCCGGGTGTGATGGTGCATGCCTGCAGTCCTAGCTACTCAGGAGGCTGAGGTGGGAGGATTGCTTAAGCTCAGGAGGTCAAGGCTGTGGTGAGCCAAGATTATGCCACTGCACTCTAGCCCAGGCAACAGAGCAAGACCCCATCACAAAAAGAAGCCAAAAAATGGGAACACCAAAGGTAGGAGTTGAAATGGTTTGCCTTTGGATGGAAAGGCAGGGAGTCAGCAGATTCCCAGGAGGCCCGAGTCCTAATCTAATTTTCTTTCTATTGTTCTAACTTGCCTTTCTTTGTAATGAGATGTTGATACAGATCCCAGAGAATGTAAGTAACTTGAGCACAGCTCTGTCATCCTGAAATACGCAGCACGGCAGCACGATGGAACCAGAGGCTGCTATTTTGATACCCTAAGTGCGTGCCAAGCCCCGCGGTAGCAGCCCAACTGTCGGGCTGTGTTTGCTTCCAGGCTTGGCTCACCTCGTTATTTCTCGGCACCTGCCATCACACAAGTGTGCCAATCAGGATGGCAACTGGGGCCAACTGTGGCTCCGAACCAGGGACTGCAGCCAAAAGAAGTATGTGGAATGCAAAGTCCTTTTGACAGGGTAATGACTTTTGTCCCATTAAGTTTACGGCAGGTTTTAAAAGATAGAGTAAAAAGATTACCAAATACTCATGTTTCATCTAGCATCTGCCTCCACTGAAACAAAGTGGGACTTTTTCCCCCAGCACCTTCAAATCACATTTGGTAAGCATTTGTGAGCACACATGGACCATGATATATCCTGTGTAATGCAATGCATGTAAGTACCTATCTCCTAGACCTCTGAAAGCTACTCATATCTCAGAGAGGAAAGTCACACAAGAAGACACTCTGAAGCAGAGCAGTACTTCACCCACGACCCCAAAGAAGCAAAAGACCAAAGAAAACAGCATTGCCAACTGAGCCCTCTCCTCTTTGGCAAGAAATGCAGGTGTTCTTTTGCATACAATCATTTTCTAAATTGAAAGGCATCCTAAAATAGTAGGACTGAACTTTGTTCTCAGCTTACCTGGATAATTGCAAGAACCGGCTTGAAGGCAGGGTTTTTTTCTTGCAATAAACTTAGAACTTCTTTTGAATTCTCAATGACTTCTCTATATTGAGAAAGAAAAACAACATTGTGATTTCTTGGTTAATGAGTAGAAAGGGCTGACACGACACAGTTTCTCAGAAAGTTCGTTCCTGCAAGTGAAAATAACTAGACCACAGAAGGACACACTCCAAGTGTACAGTATGGAGTGGGCAGGCAGCATAACAATGAAATCAAGACACTAACTCAAGGTACAATGTGGCAATCCAGTTTTTAAACTATGCAGAGGGAAACAAACCAGATGTTTACAATAATTTTCTAGGGGTGAATTTTTCTCTTGTATTTTAAAAGTTTACTATAATAAAAACTTTGGGTTTCTACTTTAAATAATCCCTCTCCTCCACCATACTCCGCTGCCATCCTCCCAAAACCCTGAGTATGGGTCCATGGGGAAAGCAAATAAAGTGGGAAGAGGGAAGTGAAGACAGGGGATTAGCGGGGTGAAGACAGGGGGCTTGCTGTTGGACAAAAAGTGTGGAGCCAGGATAAGATCCAGGTCCTGGAATTTAAAGAAGGAATTAGGTAAGGAAGGAAATGAAGGAGAGGAAAGTTCCAGAAACACTGAAGATCCACTTTGGTAACACTATTAAAGCCTCCTAGGGAGAGAGAGAGAGAGAGCTTCTCAGTCCTCTAAGAATCCACAACATAGTCTGCACCTGTACCTCCCAAATGCCCAGCAGCAGCCACCTTCACCTCCCACCTCTGAGGAAGGTGCCAGCCTGGGGTGAGCAGGCCTAGGTAAAAGTGATAGAACGCCTGGCATGATGGCATGCACCTGTAGTCCCAGGACTTTGAGAGGCCAAGGCGGGAGGACTGCTTGAGGCCAGGAGTTTGAGACCAGCCTGGGTAACATAACAAGATCCCATCTCTATAAAAAATTTAGCTGGGCGTGGTGGCACATGCCTGTGGTCCCAGATACTTGGGAGGCTGAAGCTGGAGGATTGCTTGAGCCCATGAGTTTGAGGCTATAGTAAGCTATGACTGTACCACTGCACTCCAGCCTGGATGGCAGAGCAAGACTCAATTTCTTCTTTAAAAAAAAAAAAAAAAAAAAGGGCCAGGTGCAGTGGCTTACACCTGTAATCCCAGCACTTTAGGAGGCCAAGGCGGGCAGACACAAGGTCAGGAGTTTGAGACCACCCTGGCCAATATGGGGAAACCCCATCTTATCAGAAATACAAAACTTAGCTGGGCATGGTGGCAGGCACCTGTAATCCCAGCTACTTGAGAGGCTGAGGCAGCAGAATCGCTTGAACCTGGCAGGCAGAGGTTGTAGTGAGCCGAGATCATGCCACTGCACTCCAGCCTGGGCAACAGAGCAAGACTCCATCTCAAAAAAAAAAAAAAAAAGAAAGAAAGTGTTAGGAGCTCAGCTCTTTCTGGAATCTTCTGGGATGAGCAACTGCAGAGGTTAACTTCACCACCACCCTGTGATATGTTCTCAGCAGCACATGAGCACTGGGAGCTGGCTTTTTCCCCTCTCACAATAGACCAAAGGTACAGCCACAGCAGCCCCCAGGCTTCAGTGCTAAGACCACCCTTACATTTTGTTTTCAGTCTCCGACAGGGTCTTTCACCGCACCTAACAGAAATGCAGGGCGAAGAAGTTCCAGGCAATGCCATCAACAGTACATTGCCAAGAGCAGAAAGGCATTGGGAAGCTTCCCCCAGTTTTCAGAGAGACACAGCTGACAAATGGAACTGGAGGCACTGCAGTTCCCAGATGGGGGGCTTTAGAGGAGAGAGCTGCTCAGACTCACAACCAGGACCAGCCTTTCTACTGCCAGCTGGGTTGGAACAGATGGACTGGGTGCAGGCAACTGTCTATAACCTGGGAACATTTCAGTTAGTTTTGTTTGGAAACACTTGGGATAAAGCTACTTCATTCCCAGGGAATTAATTGTATTATTGTGCTGAATACATGTGACCATATGGGAAAGTTTACAAATCACCTTATAAATAAGCACTAAAACCCATCCATCCAATAATGGGTTACTGAGGCCCATATGCCATGCTCTTCCCAGCCTGTTGTGACTGTTAATTTGGCTATGCCAGGTTCTTATTTTTGTCTGGGTCCAGGAAAGCACTGGAGTGTGGGTCCCAAGCGGCTCATGGTATAAGGATCACTGGAGTTTGGTAAAAATAAAGGTTCCAGGCCAGGTACAGCGGCTCACACCTATAATCCCAGCACTTTGGGAGGTCAAGGTGAATGGATTGCTTGAGGTCAGGAGTTCAAGACCATCCTGGCCAACATGGTGAAACCCTGTCTCTAGTAAAATACAAAAATTAGCCAGCCACGGTGGTGCACGTCTGTAATCCCAGCTACTCAGGAGGCTGAGGCAGGAGAATCACTTGAAGCCGGGAGGTGGAGGCTGCAGTGAGCCAAGATGGTGCCACTGCACTCTAGCTGGGTGACAGAGCGAGACTCTGTCTCAAAAAAAATAATGGTTCTGGTGTTTCACCCCAGAAAGATTGATTCAACGTGTCAGTGGAGCCCAGAAATGCGCATTTTTAATAGAGTTCAGGTAGTTCTGAGACACTAAGTGGAAATACAGCCCAGGACTGGTACTGGGCATTTCGTTTACTAGCGTGGGCAATAGTTTCTAAGAGCCTCAGTTTCCTCATCTGCAAAACAGGTATACTACAGTGGCTCTTTCCCTTTTTTCTTATAAATGTACGTTTGTTTTTTTCTGTGCCCCAAAGCTACCCTTAAACACTAAAAACATTCATACTAACAGCAATAATTTTCTCAGAAACATTCATAGTCTTGATCCATTCATAGTTGATGAAAGAAACACTTCTTTTTATATTTCTGAGACAGTCTCACTCTGTCGCCAGGCTGGAGTGCAGTGGTGCGATCTTAGCTCACTGCAACCTCCGCCTCCCAGGTTCAAGCAATTCTCCTGCCTCAGTCTCCTGAGTAGCTGGGACTACAGGCACACGCCACCATGTATTTTTAGTAGAGACAGAATTTCAACATGTTGGCCAGGGTGGTCTCGATCTCTTGACCTTGTGATCCACCCACCTCAGCCTCCCAAAGTGCTGGAATTACCGCGGTGAGTCACCTCACCGGGCTGACAGGAACACTTCTATAGGTAAGTTGGCAATCATCAAAAAGTAATTAGACTTTTAAAATAGTTGGGGGTGGGGGCTGGGTGCAGTGGCTCATGCCAGTAATCCTAGCACTTTGGGAGGCTGAGGTGAGAGGATCACTTGAGCTCAGGAGTTCAAGGCCAGCCTGGGCAAGAGAGCAAGACCTGGTCTCTACCAAAAAAAAAAAAAAAGGCGTTAGGGGGTGGATGTGGATAGAAAAAAAAGTATAGGCATACATCATTTTTTGTGCTTTGCTTTATTGCAATTTACAGATATTGTGTTTTTCTACAAATTGAAAGTTTGTGGCAACCTGTGTTTTAAGTCTACGGGAATCATTTTTCCAATGGCATCTGCTCACTTTGTTCACATTTTGATAATTCTTGCTTTCAAACTTTTTCATTTTTAGTATGTTTGTTACGGTGATGTGTGACTGACGATCTTTGATGTTACTATTGTAATTGTGTTGGCTGAAACGTGGCCATGATGGTTCATGATAGTGTGTTCTGACTGCTTCACTGGACTGGCTGTTTCCCCTTCTCTCTTCCTCTCCTCTGGCCTCCCTATTCTCTGAGAAACAGTATTGGAATTAGGACAATTAGTAACTACAATGGCCTCTAAGTGTTCAAGTGAAGAGTTGCAGGTCTCTCACTTTAAATAAAAACCTAGAAATAACTAAACTTAGTGAGGAGGGCGTGTTGAAAACCAAGACAGGTCAAAAGCTAGGCCTCTTGTGCCAAACAGTTAGCCAAGCTGTGAATGCGAAAGAAAAGCTATTGAAAAAATTTAAAACTGCTACTCCCGTGGACACACAAATGATAAGAAAACAGCCTTATTAGGCCGGGCGCAGTGGCTCACGCCTGTAATCCCAGCACTTTGGGAGGCCGAGGCGGGCGGATCACAAGGTCAGGAGTTGGAGACCAACCTGGCCAACATGGTGAAACCCCGTGTCTACTAAAAATAAAAAAATTAGCAGGGCATGGTGGTACACGTCTATAATCCCAGCTACTCGGGAGGCTGAAGCAGGAAAGTTTATTGAACCTGGGAGGCAGAGGTTGCAGTGAGCGGAGATCACACCACTGCACTCCAGCCTGGGTGGAAGAGTGAGACTCTATCTCAAAAAATAAAATAAAATAAATAAAATAAAATAAAATAAATAAAATAAAATAAAATAAAATAACAACAAAGGATTTATAAGATTACAGTAGTTAGGCCAGGTGCGGTGGCTCACACCTGTAATCCCAGCAATTTGGGAGGCTGAAGAGGACGGATCACGAGGTCAGGAGTTCGAGACCAGCCTGGCCAATATGGTGAAACCCCATCTCTACTAAAACTACAAAAATTAGCCAGGGGTGATGGCATGCACCTATAGTCCCAGCTGCTCAGGAGGCTGAGGCAGGAGAATCACTTAAACCCGAGAGGCAGAGGTTGCAGTGAGCCGCAATCGCAGCACTGCAACCACCCCGGGCGACAGAGCAAGACTCCATCTCAAAAAAAAAAAAAAGATTACAGTAGTTGGTATCAAGTACTTGGTAAAGCAGTTGCAAGGTTTGAAAGGATTGATGCCCATTTTGAAAGAAGTCCTACTGTGGGTAAAATGTTACCATTTTCTCTGTAGCATGCAGTACTACAGAGAAATCTTCCACGAAAGTAAGAGTTCCATCAGTGCAACAAACCTCATTGTTTTACTTTAAGAAACTGCCACAGCCATCCTAACCTTTAGCAACCACCCTGATCAGTCAATAACCATCAACATCTAGGCACAATCCTCCACCAGCTCACTGGCATTTCTTGGCAATAAAGTATTTTTAAATTCAGGTATATATCCGTACGTTTTTTTTTTTTTTTGGTTTTTTTTTTGAGACAGAGTCTCGCTGTGTTGCCCAGGCTGGAGTGCAGTGGTGAGCCTCCCCATAACCTCCGCCTCCCTACAACCTCCACTTCCTGGGTTCAAGTGATTCTCCTGCCTCAGCCTCCCAAGTAGCTGAGACTGCAGGCGCACACCACCATGCCCGGCTAATTTTTGTGTTTTTAGTAGAGATGGGGTTTCACTATGCTAGCCAGACTGGTCTCGAACTCTTGACCTAGTCGTCTGCCCACTTCAGCCTCCCAAAGTGCTGGTATTCCAGTCATGAGCCACAGCGCCCGGACTTATCTATGGGTTTTTTTTTAGACAAAATGCTATTGCATACTTAATAGGCTACAGTATTGTCTAAACATAGTTTTTGTATGCACTGGGAAACTACAAAATTTGTGTGACTCATTTTACTGCGATATTCCCCTTATTGCAGTGGTCTGCAACTGAAGCCACAATATCTTAGGTGTGCCTGTACAGGTGTGTAAAGGAGTTCAATGCTATTACCACCCAAGCGAATAAAACAAAATAGGTTCATGCTCACCATAACTTGTTATATGTGTAATGTTTCATTCTTTGGGGTTACTCATTCCTACAGTGACAGACAAAGCTAGAAAGAAAAAGGAGTAATTAGGCTCAATAAATCCAAAAAGTAGCATAAATGTTTCTAATCAGAGATTTTCGTGTCCCTGGGGGAGAAAAATGGCCTTGTGAGCTTCCACTTTGAGGACAGTGGGAAGGAATGTGAGCTCTCTAGCTAGGCTGCCATGTGTAGCTAAAACTCAGAACTAAGCCATCAGCAGCAGCTTTGTTATTTTCACCATTACTGTGACTATTATACGGAATGTATTATTACTGGCCAGGGGCAGTGACTCATGCCTGTAATCCCAAGACTTTGGGAGGCCAAGGTGGGTGGATGACTTGAGGTCAGGAGTTCGAGACTAGCCTGGCCAACATGGTGAAACCCTGCTCTACTAAAAATACAAAAATTAGCTGGGTGTGAAGGCTAAGGGATTATGGTCATCTAGTCCCATCACCAGGAACAACAGGTCACCATGCTTTTGAGGGAGCTCATTCTTTAACTTTTCTGACCTAATACACTTCGGCTCCTGGATCTCTATTCCAGGTGACTTCCAGCGGACTCACGCCCCCACCCACTTTGCTCCAATCCTTGGGGAATCAATTCAGGGCTAGAGAGTTTTAGTAAACCATGCACATAACTCAATTGAAAGGTACAATATAGCCAGGCGTGGTGGCTCATGCCTGTAATCTGTGCACTTTGGGAGGCTGAGGCAGAACGATCACTTGAACCCTGGACTTTGAGACCAGCGTAGCCAACATAGTGAGACCTCATCTCTACAAAAATAAAATTGCAGCCATAAAAAAGGATGAGTTCATGTCCTCTGCAGGGACATGGAAGAAGCTGGAAACCATCATCCTCAGCAAACTAACACAGGAACAGAAAACCAAACACCACACGTTCTCACTCATAAGTGGGAGTTGAACAACGAGAACACATGGACACAGGGAGGGGAATATCACACAGCGGGGCCTGTCAGAGGGTGGGGGAAAGGGGACGGAGAGCATTAGGACAAATACCTAATGCATGCGGGGCTTAAAACCTAGACCACAGGTTGATGGGTGCAGCAAACCACCATGGCACATGTATACCTATGTAACAAACCTGCACGTTCTGCGCAAGTTTCCCAGAACCTAAAGTAAAATTAAAAAATTAAAT